ACCTGCTTGCAGGCACTATAATCTGCTGAGCTATTTGGCAGGCCCTAAACTTTTTCCTTTTCTTTGGTGCACTACCAGGACTTGAACTCAGGACCCTACACTTACCAGGCAGAAGCTTATTCTACTGAGCTATCTCGCCAGTCCTGAATTTTTTTTTTTTTAATGTATGTAGTACAGGGTCTACGGGGTCTCACTACACAGATCAGACTTGTAGTGATCCTCCTGTTTTCAGCCTCCCAGTGCTGGGATTACAGGTGTGTGCCACCATGCCTAGTCTCTGTCACTGTCTCAGCGCGCCCCGGGGTTGGGACTGCCACTGCACGTGGAGGATCAAACCCCGTTCCCTGCATCTGCCTGAGCAGGAGCTTTAGTCCGCTGAGCTATCTGGCTGGCCCTAAGAAAATTTTTCTTAAATTATTCATCAATAACTCTTTAAAATTTCACTGTTAATGTTTTCTTCATCCTCATATCTAATCAAGTCAAAAATACTGAGCTTGGTCTTTTTACATGAGGCTCTTGTTCTTCAGGTCCTACTGTGTGTGTTTTTTAAGCTGGTGACGGAAAAGGGCCCTCGGCTAGGTTTTTGCCCAGGGTGTTTACATTGTCCTTTCCTCCTTAGCTGAGAAACAATGGCCCGAGTTCGTTCAGCAAGGCCATGCTGAGTCTGCAGTGGCCCTACAAGTATAACAACAACACCTTGCTGTACATCCTTCACTATGACATCGATGGGCCGATGAACTGCACTTCGGACATGGAGATCAACCCTTTGAGAATCAAGGTAATCGCTAAATAGCACTTCTTCATTAGGATGTTGTTTTATTGCTGTCTTTCTAGAGCTATAAATGAACTCAATTATTTTAATGCACAGATTCCATATAAAAAAATTGTAGATTATCACCAGTACGCTAAGAATTAGGTTGCTGCATGATGGGGTCAGAATTCTGCGCAGTCCTAGTGAGCCATATACTGTGGAGTGTTTGGTAAGCCTTTGTGGAGAGTCTTAAGGGTCTTAGTTTGACCTTGGTGCCTCTGAATTGTGTATCCAGGTACCATACGACACCAGGCTGTTGTGTGCTGGAATCTCTATCTTTGGAATAAGAATGTACCATTTGGTGTGTGACACTTGTCTTAAGTGACCTAGGAAAATGCCGTTTGATAGAATGACATAGATTTTGGATGTGGTCCCCTCCAGCCCAGTACCTATCCTTGAGTGAGAAACTGTGGTCCGGTATGGTCTGAGGAAATTGAAAACAATAAAATAAATACATATGTATAATTGATGACTTAGCTTGTAAAGCGTTGAAGCGAGGATAGATGGCTTGGTGGCCCAGTACTCTGCATGGCTGCTGCAGCAGGAAAAAGAGGTTAAGTCTCTGACTGCTGAAATTGACTGGTTGAAAACCTCTAACTGCTTGGAAGCTTCTCCCAATTTGCAGCAGTTGCAAGAAGAAAATTTAAAATTAAAGTATTGGCTGAATATTCTTCGAAAAAGTCTTCAGGCAGAAAAAAAAAAGCAACTAAAAAATATGATTAACATTAATATCCACCTTCAAGAAATCTTTGGTTGTGCCATCAAGGCTGCATATCTGGACTTGGAAAACCCTCCTCTTATCGTAACGCCAAGTCAGCAGCCCAGATTTAGAGATTGTCAGTGTAACAGCGTTATGGGCATTTCTCAGATGCTCAAAGCCAAACACCAGAAAGTAAGCCCGAGAGAAATTGCCAAAAACATTACCAAACACCTGCCGAACAGTGAATGTATTGAAAAAGTTGAAATTGCTGGTCCTGGTTTCATTAATGTCCACTTAAGAAGGATTTTGTATCAGAAGAGTTGACCAATCCTCTGGTGAATGGAGTACAACTCCCTGCCATTGGGAGCATAAAAAGGTTATAGTTGACTTTTCTTCTCCCAGCATAGCTAGAGAGATGCACTTAGGCCACCTCCAATCCACGATCACAGAGAAAAATATGAGCCGCCTCTTTGAATTTGCAGGCTATGACGTGCTTAGGATAAACCATGTGGGAGATTGGGGGACCCAGTTTGGCATGCGTATTGCTCACCTGCAAGATAAATTTCCAGATTATCTGGCCATTTCACCACCTATTGGGGATCTTCAGGCCTTTTACAAGGAATCTAAGAAGAGGTTTGATACTGAAGAGGAATTTAAAAAGCGAGCTTATCAGTGTGCTGTTTGGCTTCAGAGTAAAGACCCAGATATTACGCAAGCTTGTAAGCTTATCCATGATGTCTCCCGCCAAGAGTTTAATAGAATCTGTGAGGCATTGGACATCTCCTTAATAGAGAGAGGAGAATCCTTCTATCAAGCTAGGATGTGTGATGTTGTGAAAGAATTTGAAGACAGAGGATTCGTGCAAGTGGATGATGGCAGAAAGATTGTGTTTCTCCCGGGTTGTTCCATATCACTGACCATAGTGAAATCAGATGGTGGTTACACCTGTGATACATCTGATGTGGCAGCTCTTAAGAAAAGACTATTCGAGGAAAAGGCAGATATGATTATCTATGTTGTAGATAGCGGACAAGCTGTGCACTTCCAAGCAGTGTTTGCTGCTGCCTGAATGATGGGTTGATGTGATCCTAAAGCAATGTGAGTGGCCCATGCTGGATTTGGTGTAGTGCTGGGGGAAGACAAGAAGAAGTTTCAGATACATTTAAGGTGAAACAGTGTGCCTCATAGACCTTCTGGAAGAAGGACTAAAATGATCTCTGGATAAACTGAAGGAAAAAGAGAGAGAAACAAGGTCTTAACTCCAGAGGAGTTGAAAGCTTCTCAGACATCGATTGCTTATGGCTGTATCAAATATGCTGACCTTTCCTATAACCGGATGAATGACTAAATCTTCTTTGACAAAATGCTAGAGGACAGAGGGAATGCAGCTGCTTATCTGTTGGATGCATTCACCAGAATCAGGCCTAGTGCCCGCCTGGCTGGCACTGATGAAGAGATGCTCCAAAGAGCTGCTTGGGAGACCAAGATCATTTTAGAGCATGAAAAGGAGTGCAAGCTAGGCTGGCACGTTTTACATTTCCCTGAAATTTTGCAGAAGATTTTAGATGATTTATTCCTCCATACGCTCTGTGATTATATTTATGAGCTGGCAATTTCAGCCTCTTTTTGGCATGTGTTTTCCTAATTTTTCCCTCTGACTCTCTTTTTTTTTTTTTTTTGCGGTACTAGGGATCCAAACTTGGGGCCTTCAATTAAGACTCAAGACATATGAGAACTTGTACTGTAAAGTCATGTAACTCAGTAGTCCCAAATTTTCTGATCAAGGAGATTATGGGACCACAGATCAATGTGACTGATGATGTAGCGTGTGCCTAAGGAGAGTCACTTGGAGAGAAAACATTCTCTCAGGCTTTCACAGAGAGCACATTGGCCAAGCAATGGCCGTGACTCATCCACATGGCCGACACTGACAAAGGATCTACAATCTGAGGTACAGGATCTCAGGATAAATCCTGAGGGGATTTGACTGACCTTATCAGACCCAAAAGCTACAACTCTTGTTGCATAGGTCCTGCTTTACCTTGGTCTGAACCATCCAGCAGAAAAGTATAAAAACGAAGTATAAGAAGTAAAGCCATGCTGTTATGTTGAGCTGTAGGGGACTCTTGTCAACAATTTCTGACACTGCCAGTCAAGCAGAAGACCCAATACTATTATGGACTGCTGGACTCTCAGAATATTTTGCTGAGCTAACACACCTATAATACTCAAATGATGGAACTAAACAAAAAAGGGGATACAGATGAATGTCCATTTTGTATCTGTGTATTCAAAATGGTTAGGATAGATATATAATATAGTTACATTCTCTTAATGAATAGAGGGATTGTTCTAATAGTGTTTGTAAATAGGATATCATGTCTGCATCTTGTACAGCAAATAACCACTAAGAAGAGAGTATGCAATATGTTAATTATTGGAACTATCCTACCAATTTGGTTTGAAACTGTCTCATTGCTATTTGTTTCTCAAAAAAATTATGGAAGGAAAAACCAAACAAAACAAAAAAAATCTTGGAACCTTGCACTTGCCAGGCAGGTGCTTCTGCCACTGAGCTATATCCTCAGCCTTCCCCTGACTCTGCAACCAGGGAAGATCACGGCTAGGGCTGGCTCACTTGTGGGGATAACTGAAGGGCTTTAGTCTTCGTTTCCTGTCCTTACCATTCACAACATGTTGTGATGAATTTTCTAGAGCATACGTTTAGCAGACACAGGGCCCAGGGAAACAGATCGGTGTAGCGTGTTTTCCGTGTCTCCTCACAATGTGCTTTGACCCTGCGACACAGATCTCATCTTTGCAAGCCACGAGGAAGAATGACACATTTGTTGTTCAAGGCGACGGGAATCATTTCATCACCAAGCGGGATGTCGCCCTTCGAGAGGGAGACGTTCACACTTTGGTAAGTGCCATTCCAAGTCCACGGTGGCAGGGACATTTAAAATATGTGACTATAGGACTGATGCCAAAGAAGTTTTCAAAAATAACAGCAGCTGTGCTGAAAAGGAACTGTTTATTTTTACACTATTCAGTCACCTTACCTTCTTTTTTCGTACTGAAATTAATGTGACATTTTCAAGTCTTTTCTCTGATACATGGCTAATAAAAATACTTCGTGTTCTAGCTTTTTTAAAAAATGCAGTCCTTTATCCAATCTCTTTCTGAACAGAGAGGGCCCCAGCAAAATTATATTAGAAGGAAAATTAACATTATGATGAACATAATGTGAAGTTCATACTGAGCCATGGCTTATGTCCTTTCACTTTTTGAAACATTAGTAGATCCCCACACTCACTGAGGAATGCATTCCAGTGACTGTTCTACCTCCAGATCATGTGGCCCTTGATGCCCATCCAAGCCAACCACCCAGTAACTTTGGGTCACTTGTCCCCTTCCGACATTCTCCATCTCCTCCACCATCTCCTACCTCTGTCTTCTCAGTTTCCCTTTTCAGACCTTTGACTTCAGTGTCCCTGGGCTCAGGGCTCGGGTTTCTTTGCTTCTCCTCCACGCACTCATGCGTGCGGTGCTGATCGGGCGCGTGAAGCTGGCTCCTTCTCGAGCACTCACAGCACACGAGGCTGGAGGGCGTCTCACCACGTAGTGCAGACGTCTCTGCTTGATGGCTTCCATTGTGCTAGAAACTTCTCTTGGGCAGTGCCACACTGCAGGATCTTCCTGAATCTCATGGCTCTCAGCACCACCCAGGGCATAGGATTTGGGGTTTTACTTCTAGCCTGATCCTCTGCATTCAACTCCAGCCTTTTTGCTGCCTACTAGAACACCTCCTAAATGGGAAATTGCAACCGTACTTCTAAAATACCTTCAGCACGCCCAGGTCTGCTCTTTTCAGTGATCCATATTTAATAAATAGCAGCTCCATTCTCTAAAACTTGCACCTTTACTCTCCATCAAATCCCACAGCCTACAATCCAGCAAATGCTATCATTATCTACTTTCCAGAATGCCCAAAACCTGTCCCCTCCTCACAGCTCTGCCACTGCCACCTCTTTCCTCTTCACTGACCACGTAGAAGCCACAGTGATTCCTTTAAGCATAGGTCAGGTTACATCACTCCAGTGCCTGCCATCTAAAATAGCCCGAACGTAGGGTTACCTCAAAGTCCAAGCTGATGCAGGCCTTTCCTACCTCGGACCTACCTCTCAGATTCATCTGTGTGTTAGCATGTGTTAGTATGTGGATCGTGTCACAGCTGGATAGTGTCACCTCCTGTGGATGACACACTACTTTTTGTTTATTGATACAATTGGTGGAAATTAAGATTGCTTCCACTTTTTGCCTGTTTCCTACAGTGTCCGTGGCACTGTGGACATGCCTCAAGTGAAGCAGTGGGCTTGCTGGGTTGTATGGAAACTTATGTTTAACTTTTTTAAGAACTGTTTTCCAAATACGCAGTGTCCGGTGGTTGCAGTCATTGCCTGCTTTTGTTTGTTGATAGGGAGCCGAGTTGGTGTGAAGATGTCCTTCTCTGTGGCTCTTGTTTGTGCCTGGTGACTGATGGTGTTGAGTATCTTTTCATGGGTTTATCTTCACAGGAGTTTCAAATTCTTTGCCCACTTTTCAGTTGGGTTGTTTTTAATGAGTTGTAAAAAGTTCTTATGCGCTATGGATATTACTCTTGTCAGATAGATACTTGCGTATATTTCCTTTTACTCTATGGGACTTTTTCTTTTTTTAATGTATTTGGTACAGGGTCTCACTATGCAGCTCGGATTCATAGTAATCCTCCTGTTTTCAGCCTCCCCAGCGCTGGGATTACCGGCGTGCAGCACCACGCCTGGTCTTGGTGGCTGGCTCAGAGCGCCTGGGGCAGGGCTGGCATGGCATACAGTACTGGGGAGCGAACCCAGGTCCTTGTGCTTGCCTGGGCAGGCCCTTAGACTGCTGAGCTATCTCCGTGGCCCTATTTTTTCATTTCTTGATAGAATCTTTAAGACACAAAAGTTTAAAGATTTTACTCAGACTTTTGTTGTCACAGAAAAAAAAGGGCTGGCCAAATAGCTCAGCAGATTAAAGTGCCTGCTTAGGCAGACACAGCAGCCTGGGTTTGATCCCCAGCGTGCCATGCTGGCCCCACCCCCAGGACTCATTGAGAGGTGATTGAGACTGGGCCTGGTGGCACAAGCCTGTAATCCCAGCTCTTAGGACGCTGAACATAGGCCGATCACTACAAGTCCGATCTACGTAGTGAGACCCTGTAGACCCTTACTAAAATACAAAAAACAAACAAACAAAAAAATTGGTAAGCCAAGATCAAGAAGCTTTACACTTAGGGTATCTTGTGTCCTGAGATTTACACTTATAGCTCTATGTACAACTTCATCTTGAGTTAATCTTTGCATGTGGTGTGGGTAGGGGCTGAGGGTCACTCTTTTACACACAGTTCCTTCCCCAGGCTCATTTGCTGAAAACAACTGTTTTCTCTCCCCCTTAAATTATCTTAGTATCTTGTTGAAAGAAAATGAACTATAGACACAATTTTATTTTATTCTCTTTTGTGAAATTATGAATGCATATTAATTATGCAGAATGGTGCCGTGCTCTGGGACACTTCCTTCCACGCAGTTGTCACTTCTGTCATCCGCCTTTCTTCTCCTCCCTCTCCCCCATCCACAGTGATCTCTCTTCTACTTTTGGTCAGTGTTTCCTTATCAAAGTTGTTTTCCCTGCTGTAGCTCTGTTGTAAGCTTGGGAATTGGGAAGTGAAGGATCATGGACCAGTGTTTCTTTTTCAAATTTGTTTGGGCTGTTTGGTTCCTTGCAACTTCATACGAATTTTAGGATCGGCTCATCCCTTTCTGCAGAAATTATAACTGGACTCTGGGTAGTAATGCTTCTGATTATCAGCTTGGGAAGCGTCGTCATCTTAACAATCTCACATCTTTCCCTCAGGGAATGCAGGCTTTCTATTTCTTTAGGTCTTTAATTTTTTCCCCCAAATACTCTATAGCTTTCAGTGTTCTACTTTCATGCTTTCTTAATGATACTATTTCTATGGGTTTTGTTTTTAACCTATTTTAAGTAGATTTTCTTGATTTGTCTTCTGAACTTTTAATTTCTACTATATAGCTGTATATCTTTTCCCCCTTTTTGTGCTTATTAGCTCTTTATTAGTTTTAATAAGGATTATGTGGTGTCTTCTATATAGAAGACTCTGTCTTTTGCTGATAGCTTTCCCGTATCTTTTATGATGCTGTTGCCTAACTGTGCTAGCTGGGACCTTCTGTGTAGCACTGAGTATTAGTGGCATTGGGTGGACACCTGTGTCACGTCTGTTGTCTTGCTGGAAAAGCATCTGGTCTTGCACCATCTGGCCCGAATGCCCCTTCTCACTCTGTTCCTCACTCTCCTCTTCATCAGTTGCTGGTATTGCTTTGTGGAGGGCATTTTTGTCACATGGGTACACGTGACATGTTTAATGTGACTAGTACAGAAAAGTGATAAGTGTTGTTTTCTTTGACTGCCAATCTTTGTCACTACTAAAAACACTAAATATGGCAGAGTCGCCAGCGCACCATTTGATTTGTACAGATTGATGTGGAATGGCCATTGCAAATTCACTCTCTTTACCTTCCGTTCTTTCTTTATTGTTCCTTACCTTTCTTTTCCACAGAGATATTGAGATCTGATTTTCATATCTTACCGTGATCACCACGCTCTGGGTTTGCCTAAAGAATGTTGAGGTCCGGCCATAAAAATGAATCTTTTAGTATATTAGAGACACAATATACTTCTAGAATAAATCACATTAAAGCCAACCCCTTTATAACAAAAAGTGTAGACTTAATTAACCTGTTTAAGCATTGTAAGACCAAAACATTGGGGTTGTCTCTTTGGTCTTCAGAGAACAAGTAAAATGAGACACCTCCTACACAAATGTGGGTACAGAGGTAGAGTAAGTTTTCATTGTGAGTGGATGCTTCGCTCCCACAGGGCTGCGGGGTCGCTCAGTGCTTGAGGATCGTCTGCCAGGTTGGGCGGCTGGACAGAGGGAAGAGTGCCATCCTCTACGTGAAGTCCCTGCTGTGGACCGAGACCTTCATGAATGTGAGTAGGCAAGCGTGGCGTGCGGCACACAGCCGCTCCGGAAGCTTAGAAGGCCTGGCAGCTGGGACACCTTCTCACTGTCCTTTCCCTGCAGAAGGAAAACCAGAATCACTCCTATTCTCTGAAGTCATCTGCTTCATTCAGTGTCATAGAGTTTCCTTATAAGAACCTTCCCATTGAGGACATCTCTAATTCCACCTTGGTAAGTCATGGATTAGGGAAATGGAATAAATCAACTCTCTTGAAGTGCCTTAGATGGTTGTATTTTGTTTAAAGAATGGACACTTAACTATTCATTAATTTAAAAGAACTAAGTTGTTTGGTAGGATTATAACCTTGTATAATATTTCTTTACTCTTCTCACCTAGAACTGTGAAAACTAGACCTGTTAGCACCCTGACCATACTAAATTATGTTAGGTCCCTTGTAGGATATTTCCTGCTCATAAAGTTAGACAATCGGAAATTGACTGCAACAAGTGATGATGTTTTGAAAATTTTGCGAAGTTTTTAAGGATTAAAAATAGGACACACCATCATGCACTGGATTGTATTATTTAAAAGTCTTTGCAGACGCAAGCAGGGCTTGTCCTGTGGTTGGGAGTTTCATGTGTGTCTATGCTGCAGTTCATCATGAAATTGCTAAATTATCATAAGGGAAAACTACAGTGTGAAAGCCAGTAGAATGAACTTTAATAGGCACGCATGTATTTAGGCCAGCAAATTATTCAAAAAACTAAACACCTTTTTCCCCAACAGGTTACCACTAATGTCACCTGGGGCCTGCAGCCCACGTCCATGCCTGTGCCTGTGTGGGTGATCATTTTAGCAGTTCTAGCAGGGCTTTTGCTACTGGCTGTGTTGGTGTTCGTGATGTATAGGGTAAGGGATGGACAGAGAAAGAGGGAGGAAGAGGGAGGGAAGGGAAGAAAAGGGACGGGAAGAGGCAAAGGAGTGAAAAGCAATAAGGAAAGAAGAAAAGGACCTGCTATGGTATATGATAAGACTATTTGTTATTTGAAAAAAGAGAAGTGATCCAAAATGGCATTTAAGTTTTCTGGGTCATTATCTTAGTTACTTTCCTCTCATTGCTGAGACAAAAAAAATATGTACCAGGGGCCGGCAAGTTAGTTCGGTGGTGTAAAGCACCTTCTTAGGCAAGCTTAGGCAAAGTGCAGGGACCACAGTTTGATCCCTGGCGCCACATGCTGTGCCAGTCCTGCCTCCAGGGTGGGCTGAGCGGGAGTGTGGGGGTTGAGGGGGACGGTCACCAGCCAAAGTTAAAGGGGGAATAAGTTTGTTTAGCTCACGGTTTATAGAGGTTTCAGTCTATAATCAGCTGGCTCCAAGGCAGGGTGGCACATGGCAGAGAGTCAACAGTTCTTGGCGCCAATGACAGCAAAAGCAACAAGAGAGAGTGACAGGCCTCTTTCTGTCCCTTATTTTGTCGAGGCTACCAGGATTAGGGTGGTGGACTGACCAGCAGTCACCCACCCTTCACCCCAACACCCTTAATCTTAGCCTTGTACCACCAGTCAGTCACATACTCTAGATTCAGCCACTACGATCCCCAAGAGCCCCCGTGACTGCACGAGGCCTTGGGGACATCGAGACGTAAACCATAACAATGATAGTAGTCATGCAGACAATAGTATTACATCGTCTGTGTTGTGAACATAAGGTTGGCCTTTTCGTTTCACCTTACAGATGGGCTTTTTCAAACGTGTCCGGCCACCCCAAGAAGAACAAGAAAGGGAACAACTTCAGCCTCAAGAGAATGGTGAAGGAAACTCAGAAACTTAATCACGGCGTTCAAATTATGCCACATCGCGATTCATTAGGTTTAACAACTTGGTTCTACATTTTCAACTCCTTCACGAGGAGGAAAATTCTCAGACTGGATGGCGAGTGGTACCCTGTGGTCTCGGTTTAACCACACAACTGAAAGCAATATCTTTCAACCTTCTTTTTATAAATAAGTTCCGACATACATTTAATATGCATACACTGACTTCTATTTTTAGGTATTTAAATGATGACATTTTAAGCGATGGTTCTCATTCAGTGTACATAAGACAGGTAGTGTCTGAGTTACTACTTTCTATAAAACAGTGCTTCCTGCAGTAACTGCCTCTGAGCTAGCATTTGTCCTTGCAGTTTGAAAACTACCCACACTGGCCCCGAGCGCCTTTATTTTTTTGTACGGGTACTTGGCGCTAATGTATAGTACACTACAGTTGACTTTCCGAGCTACTTTTTAATTGCATGAATTTGGATTTTAATATCACTTAGAGGTAGAAGTTTTTCAAAACAGTGAGCTCACATCAAAATTGTGTCCAGCAGGGTGGGTCTATGTTTCAGGGCCCTGAGCAGTCACTTGGCATGTACCAGGCCCTGAGCCCCACCTCCAGTACTGGAAAAAATGATTTCTTTCCTGTAATAGTTATGGTACGGTATTTGAGTATGAAAATTGGGTACATGGTGTTAGCTTTTTATTTATGTTTAACCTGCAGTCTATTTTATTACATTTAACTTGGATAATTTAAAGTCTACACCATCGTTTAAACCACCTTATATTAAAAATTAATTCTATAATCAAAAATGCCTTTTTTTGTGTAATAGTTTAGTTTCAAATAGGATGCTTAAGCCGTACAAGTTGGACATTGTTTCCAAACTACATCTCTTCCATTGTTTCTTCTGGTTATTAACAATTCAAAAAGGAAGCATTTTAATTAAAAGTCTATGCTTGTGGCTCTTTGATATAATTGGTTGTTAGTAGTATGTTCTTAGATTAGAGCAGAGTTTTCAGTTGGTATTAATTTATTTTGTCCTCCTATATCTATAATTTTGCTTACAATTTGGAAACTCTCACTGAGAACAGGTCGAGCTCCCTTTTGTAACTTTGGTCTCCTCTCTCCCCTCATAAAAGCTTCAAGGAATCAACCGGTCAGGAAGCTCCCTGCTCGCCTTCTGGCCATAGCCTGACGCGACCCAGGTCCTCAGTACCTCAGCTGAAGCAAAGTGACGAGACACAAAAGCAGTGTCGGCTCTCAGAAGAGCTGCTAAGAGGTGGTCACAGGCAGCTGGACTTACAGAAAACCTTTTGAAGTGTTGTGAGGTTTTTAACATAAATGGGTGGCGAGTTATAGTTTTATATGCATGGAATATGGGATTTATTTGCAGTTCTCATGGTCTAGGAATGACTGCCAGTTATACCTATTTTGTGCAATTACATCATATTATGTACAAGAAATTGAGTTTAATAGCTTTTGAACTGCCATCCTTACTAGGCAATGATAAATTTTTCACTTCAATAATTGACTTTTTCTATGTTTTAAAAATAATTGAAATGTATCTTGTGCTCTAGTTCCATGCGCAACTGGCTGAGCTGAACTGGAGAATGTATTCACAAAATAGGAGCACCTTTAGGCAAATTGCATAAATGAGAACATAGAAAGACCCTATATTTAACTTTAGTGAATTTTAAAATTAATGGGTTTCAGAGGGTAGAATTTATTAGTAGCTTGAGAGATCTTAATCATATCCAATATGTATTTTTATCATCAATAGATTTAAATTCTTTTAAGAAAAAAGTATTTTTATCCTAGGGTCAGACAGCCACCAGATAGTCACTCAGTTGGTCTATAGCAAATTTTACCTTATTATTTTTCCTTTTTAATAGCTTTATTTCTGCAAATACCCATCAGATAGAAAATTACACTTTGACAAAAGTGTCAGTATTTTGTTTTCCACTGTGTGTTACTTTTATGGCTATATATCAAGGAATAATTATTGGGATTTAAGTATATTATAATTGGCAGTTAACACAATGTCTTCAGTTGCCTTTATAAATTATAGTTTTAAGTAATGATAGAGATTTTTTTCCTTCTAAAAATAGAAAATATTTCTCTCATAAATATGGAATAACTTGAAGATTTACTTTCTGAGGAAAATGCTGTGCTTCTTATTACCTTACAGTAACATAGAGGTAGACTTGACTAAGTATCAGAAGGCAGTTTTAGGAAATCTATTTTAATCACTGAACATTTTAAATGGTACTGTACTTGTGATCTGTTGAGATTAAAATTTGTAGTATGAAATTCTCATAATGATTTAGTTTTTTAAAATGAGTGAACTAGAGACTATTAAAGCATTTGAGATAAGTGAGAAGTACTGATATTCACACTGATTTCTTATAGAAGTATTTATTTCAGAATTGATATTTTAAGAAACATTTGTGTGAGGGTCATTTTGCTTCTCTTTACTTTTCTCTTACGATTAATTTCCATCTTCCTTCTTGTTAAAAGTCCTTAATAACTCTGAGAGGCAAAGCAATTAGTTAAAACAGCATTGCCGTAGATCCACCTTTGTTAATTCTCAGGAATGTAATCCTCTAGATTTCTATAAGGAGAAATTGCATGTGTTAGTAGAAGAGACTGTACTGGCTTCTTTACAAGAGGGTGAAAGATTTTTGGTGGAGAATCGTGGCCCCGAGGGAGAGCTGTGTGGCATGTGTTTAGCACGTGACGGGTTGGCTGGCTGGTGTAAGCAGGCAGCATGTGTAAGTTCGTACATGTTGCCGTGTTGCAGACCTGGTGAGGAGCCAGTTGGAGAAGGATAAGTTGTTCGTGGGGTACCTGTCAGTGTCACCTCGGTTGTACTTCTGAATAGTTTATAGAGTAATCTGATAAATACTTAAAAGGAAAAATCTGAACTTTGAGTGTGGAATCCAAATGGGTAAATAATAATTACTAAATACGTAGTACTTTGAAAAATGCCCCTTTTACCTTGTTGCTTGGCTAGTTTGTAAAAAGAACTTATGAATGGACAGCATATATATATACACTTACATTTCTTTGTAATTTCTGTTGCGTAGTTTTCCTGAAAGAGGTACTGAACTTTGGGTCTTCGTTGTCTTTGTTCTCATGTACGGTATAACAATGTCGCCAATCCTAGGCAATGTCAAAGTCGTCATTCATTTAATAAGCCTGATCTAAACTAAAATTTATTAATATTTTTGATAGCAGGAAAGAGTGATTCTGCTGTGGATGTACAAGTAAAATTATTCCCCCCTCTCCTGAGTGGCTCATTCTACATTTTATTTCAGGCTGGACATGAACTATGAATGCTTTACCGGCTTAGAAGCACTTTGAAATAGCTAAAGACAGGTTGGAAGCTGTGTTTCTCAAATTAACTTGCTACCTAGGTAACATAGAAAATGATTCTCTTTGTTTAGCCTCTCTTGCGGTCACCCACATTGGGTAAGACGTAAAGTGAGTCTGTTCTCCAATCTGTCACTTGCTAACTTGGGTTAAGTTCATGAAAGCTGCTGCAGGGCTCTGCTGGGCTTCGGATGTACCTTGTGACTGTACAATAAACTTGAGCGAATGGTGTCACCTTTGTGTATGGACTTCATCCTTTCCTTCGGTCCTGTTTTGCATTACTTTTTAGTCATGTGAACCAGAGTCATGCACAGGAAGCGTGCGACACGCCTCTAAAAGTTCTTAAGAGCGCTGGTCCTTTGAACAATGCAAAAAGAGGCAAAGGGAACCCAGTGTTAACATACCTGCGTGGATAAGCACATATTTGCCTGAAATCTAAGAATCCTTTGATGTTTAAACAATTACTTTTAGGCTTTATCACATGAACCCTTATTATTTTCACCTTGTCAGAGTATTTTTTTTTTGAGTATTTTTTTTTTTACCTTTTTAAAATTAATTTTATTGAGAAACAAATAGCAATGAGACAGCTTCAAAACAGGTTAGTAGGACAGTTATAATACTTAATGCATTATATATTGTTGTCTTTCTGTGATTATTCATAGTACAAGATGCAGACATGATATTCTGTCCAAACACTACTAGTATAAATCTTTCTTCTCAGTGAATTAAGAGAAAGTAGCTGTAAATCTATCCTATTTTGCATATACAGATACAAAATGGTCCTTCATTTATATCCCCTTTTTTTTGTTTAGTTTTGTCAGAATCAGATTACTTTTAATATGCACATTTTGTGGTTTTGTGACTTTTTACACATCTGCGGTTCTAAAAGTTGGCCATTCCTAATCCAGAGCTCCCAAGCCCCAAATGCTTCAAAATGTGAAGTTTTCTAAGCAGGATATCAACCTTTACTTAACCAAAAAAGTTTCTGCAGTTATTCTAAAAATTGAAAAACTCTGAAATCTGAACCACATCTGGTCCCAGGCCTTTCAGATAAAGAAGAACAAACCTGTATAAAAGGTTCTAAGTAAAGGTTTCAGGAGAGAAAAAAATACGTTAAACTTGATTTAGTCCTTTGATTACCAAAACACCTGGCATCCCTTAAAGATGCATTTTTTTTTACATCTATGTTCCAGTAGTCACATAATTTTGGTGACATGAGGTGGTAGAAAATACTATTTATTACATTATTTATTAAAATGCAATTATAGATAAAATATTTGTTCAAAGAAACCATTTCCTCACTTTCTACCAATAGTTTGGTTAATTACAGTTTCATTTTGGATAAGCTATGAGATTGTCTTTCTGTTAAGTTTGTTTTCTCTGAGATCGTTTTGTTGAAAAGCCCTTTATTGTAGTTCATAGTACAACTTGATGTGATACAGGAACGAATACTTACATATACCTATTTTTATCCATGAAATTTGGAAATACCTTCCTATACAATATGGATTTTTATCTGGTTAAAGGACTCCCCTCACTACCAGAATCCTCTGGTGTAAATTACCATGAAATACTGTGGATTAAGGGGCGGGGGGGATAGTCTGAGTGCCCTTCTGGCAAGCGCTAGGACCTGGGTTCCATCCCTGGTACCACAAGCCATGCAGGCCCTGGAACTTTGGGTGCACCATGCTGACCCCTGAAACTGGGCATGGTGGAGCATGCCTGTAATCCCAGCGCTGGGGAGGCTGAGACAGGAGGGTCACTATGAGTCTGAGCTGCATAGTGAGACCCTGTACCAAACAAATGAGTACATAAAAATTTTTTTTTAAAAGATTGTGGATTAACATAGACCTGATGTTTTATTAATACTTATATTCTTCAAACTGTAGTTCTTATCCAATGGCCTTTGGAGGGCTTTGTTCATACAGTGTGCCTTTCTAGTCCACGCTCTGTGCGTGTGCACACCCTTCCTACTGCTTTAAAAAATTATTTTCCTGTCTTATCACCACTGTGGTACAAACCAACAATCTGGGCTGCCTTTGCTGACCTGTTTTGCCAACACAGAGCTGGCCGTCAGGGAAGGCAACAGTTTTACCAACTGCCACACCTTTGTGTGATAGTGGTTGTGTTTTCATTTTTTTTTTTTTTTAAGATTTTTTTTGTCACTCAAAAAGGTGGCAGGACCAGCTGGGTATAGTGGTGCATGCCTATAATCGCAGCACTTGGGAGGCTGAGGCAGGAGGGTCACTGGAGAATTGTTGAGAGTTCAAGACCAGCCTGGGCTACAACGTGAGCTCAAAGCTAGGCTGAACTGCATAGCAAGATCCTGTCTCAAAAAGACAAAAATTAAAACTAAAAGTGGAAGGAAAATGGAAAAAATAAAGTGTGGCAATAGGAAAGATTGGAATTTAGGAAAGTTGCCAGTATTGGGCTTAATCTGACAGCTATTGGATCTGATTGACTGTTTTCATAGTTGGGGAAAATTAGCAGTAAAATTAAAGAACTGAGAAATGTCATGAATGTAACATAGTGTTAATGAAACTTTTCTGAGAGGCACAGAGTAATGAAAGATACTACCAGTTTTAATTCAGTACCATAGAGAAATCACCTACAACATGGAACTTTCAGAAATTCAGTGTTTAGGGTTCACCAGATAGCTCAGCAGACTAAAGCCCCTGCTTAGGCAGTCCAGGGACTGGGGTTCGATCCCCTGCCGTGCCGGCCACACCCCCCAGAGCATGCAGAGGCAGCAAATGACACTGGGTGTGGTGGCTGGGGGTCCTTAAATTTTGAAGGGGTTTTCACATTCTAAGAAGGACAATACCTTGGAGGAGGTGACAATGGTAAATTCTCAGCAAAGCCTGAACACAGGACAATAATCCTTTGCAGGCATAAAGCAGGCAGACATGGGAGGGGATTTGACTTTCAAAGAAGAGAACGTATTTTTCCCTGTGAGGTTGCTTGGTGCAGTGTGGGGGGCTGGGAGTAGAAACCTCCTCATGACCTCAAAGGAAGTGGCCACAGCAGGAAGGATGGGAACGCGCCCCCAAATCTCAGGGTGCCCCCTGAACTGCACATGCCCGAGTACTGAAGGCTCCGAGTTGCCCAGGGGGAAAGCCACAAGCAGAAGGCAGGGAGAGTAGAAGAGTTTATTCCACATCAGGAGAAGTAGGAAGATTGGCTCCGGTCTTGGGGAAACCCCAGGCTTTTCATTAAAAGCTGGGGGGGGGGGGCGGTCTATGCCTTGGGAGTAAATACCACATCTCAAGATTAATTCAGCCTAGAACAAAAGGTAAAATGAAAATAGGCCGAATTTGACAAAGCATAAAGCCAGGCTTCCTCGAGTTGAGAGTGGTCCTCCTACCACAAAACTGTCTGCTGGTGAAGGCAGTGACTTTTAGCTTTTTTATTTTTACTTTTTAATTTATTTGGTACAGGGTCTTACTATACAGCTAGGACTCCTAGTGATCCTCCTGCTTTCAGCTTCCCCAGCGCTGGGATTACAGGTGTGCACCACCAGTCCTGGTCTCTGTGGCTGCCTCAACTTGCACAGGGGTGGGGCAGGTGCAGCCTCTTGTGCTGGGGATCGAACCCTCGTCCCTGCGCTTGCCTAAGCAGGCGCTTATTCCACTGAGCTATCCCACTGGCCATGGAAGTGACTTTAGAGGAAGCTAATACAATTGAGTGTCACCTCCATGTAGTGCGTGTGTGTGCGTAAGTGGGAAGAAATAGGAACACAGGAGAAAATGTGATCCACAGTTTTGAGAAAAACCAGTCAATGGAGACATAAATGAATTAGCAGAGATGATTTTAAACAGCAATATTAAACAGTAAATTGTAAAGCATGAATATAATGGGGAAAGAGAGGGGCATTTCAGGAGAGATTTGGAGTCTGATGAAAGAGACCCAAATGGAAACTTTAGGATTAAAAATTATATCTGAAATCAGAAATCGACTGAAAGGGGATTAAAAATAAAGTGGATAGAATAAAAGGCTGATGAATTTAGCGACGGACCAAGAGTATTTATCTAAATTTACACGCATACATGCACATGAGCGCACACGTGTGCGCACACATACACACACAATTGCAAAAAAAAAAAAATACAGATAAAGCAGACCTGATGACTTGTAGGACAATCTAGGTAGGTAGAAAAGAGTGTCAGAAAGCAGAGCAACCAATTATTTGAAGTTATTTAAAGCTAAAAAATTTCCAAATTTTCAAAAACGGCAAGCTCCAATTTCTGGAAGCTTACTGAGCCTCAAAGAAGGCTTTCAAGGCAGATTGTGGTTAAACTGTTGGGAGAACCACATTAGAGAGGAATCTGCTTCAGTCCCTTGCAGGCTAATGGGGGCCTAGACTTCATTCCATGCCTTGAGCTGTTAGGGCAGGATTCAAACTCCTGACCCAGTACATGTTTGCTGTCCAGTGCTGCTTAGGTTACAGTTATAACTTATAAAATAGATTCAGTATCTAGGGAGGAGGCCGAGATGGATCAGCACACTAGGACTATTTTTCCAAGTAATATTTTTATTCACTTTCTACTATTCTAAATCCCATAGAAAATAAGCAAGCAAACAAACAAAATCAATCAGTCAATCAACCAATCAATCAATCAATCAATCAATCGTTTTAAAAGTAACATGGTTAGGTTCTGTCTTATGCCTGATCAGCCCCATTTCCAGAAGCATGAAGAAATAGAAATCATTTTCATAGAAGTCATGTCTATAATCTGAATTTGAATTTCACACAGTCATTTAACATCAGGTTAGTTTAGAAACCTAACTTATTTCGAAGGACTAGTTCTCCTGTTAGACTTTTCAGGAATTACTCTTTGGACAACCCTATATAGAGAATATTAACTAGTTATTACAGTTATTCCACTAAGTGCAACACAATAGGCA